CTGGGCAAGTGGCCTCAGAGAGAACCAGACTCTGATCCTGGGCAAGCTTGAGCGTCCAAGAAGCCCTTCGAGAGCGGCCCCTGCAGTGCACAAGTGTTGCCACTGGGCGGCAGCGGGGAGTGAAGCTGGAGTCCGGCCTCCTCTCAGACCTGCGGCTGCAGCAGCTGCGGGCGGGCCCTTCCCCAGCACTGGGTGGTCTCTGCTCCCCCACACCCTCAGCTAGCTCTCTGGGGAGCCAGAGCTGGGTGGCCATCCACATCCAGGCATCTGACCCTCCCCCACAGCCCTGCGGAGCAATGAACCCTCTCTCCACTTTTCAGAGGGGGAAAGTGTGATGGGGGAGGGGAATCGTTCAAGGTCACCCGTCAGGCCAGGCGGATCCAGATCTCCAGCCCTTTCCCAGCCCGGGTGCCCAGAACAGAGGCTGTGTGAAGGGGTCTGCGCACAGACAGACTTGGGTTGGGGGCCCAGGGTCCACACCCCCCGCTGTGCATCACCGGGCGCCCCCCCAACCCTCGCAGACGCCACCTCCCTCAGCACCTGGCACAGGCCACACGGTTCAGCACATGACCCGCTGCTTTGTTTCTGGCCTTTCTGACAGAGAGCAGACGTGTCTGTCTCGCCTTGGCGTCCCCAGAGCTGACCCTGCCTGGAAGTCAGGGCGAGGATCTCCCCGCGCCCCGTCCACCACCACGGATCAACCCTCACGCTTCCCTTCTCAGCAGCGGGCGCTTCCTGCCCCTCGGCTCACAGCTCCTCCCCACAGCCCTGTCCCCCTCGTCCCTGTCCTGCCTCTCCCGGCTAGGCTGGCTCCCGCTGAGCCCCGCTCCGCTCCGCTCTACACACTGTTTACAAGACAGCAATGACAGTTTTTTATTTCTCTTTTGTGTCCCTTCCTCCCCGAAGGGACGTGTGCTTCCAGTCTCCCGGGGGAAACGGAGGCTGCAGAAGAGAAATGCAAACAAAGGACAGTGGGGCTGTGGACACCCCTAGCGCCCCAGCCACCCTTAGCCACGTGCACACACACAATCCTCCTCTTGTGGAGCCTCCGAGAGCTCTGTGTTATTTGGGGGGTGATTGAAAAAGCCGATCTTTACTCTAGAGGACAAGCAGAGCAGGAGGGGGAGAGAGGCAGGGAGAGAGAGGGAGGGACGAGAAGGCAAGGGGGGCAGGGGAGAGAAAGACTGAAGAGGGAAAAAATCGGCCGGAAGACCACGGGCCGGGGAGACAGAGGGTGGGCCAGGACACAAGTGGAGAGGACTTTCTACCCCCCCAGGCATCGAGGGCGCGCGCCTTCCCGCCGCTGCTGCAGCCCACCCGGCCAAGGGCCAAGGGCCGGGCCCAGGGAGGCCGTGGCAGGAGCCTGGTCTAGAGACTCTGTCCTCGGGAGGCCCCCAGGCAGGCGCCACTGGGGCGGGGGGGGGTCGGCTTGGGCAAGGGCTCACACCCAGCGCACCCCACCGGGAGGCCCCAGGCTGGAGGGCTGAGAGCCAGCCAGGGGCAACTCTGGGCTGACAGTCACCCCAACTCTGTCCTGAGCGAGAGAGCCTCCCCCCCCAACACCCCCCACCACTGCACCCGTGCCCGTCGGGCAGGGAAGGGCGTTCTCAGGGCTGGTCCGTGGCCCCACAGCCGTGCATGAGTGCCTAGAGCCGGCCTGGCTGGAAAGAGGCAGGTGCAGGGGTGAGGAGGCGCCTGGAGGGCCAGGGGGTGCGTGCGGTAGCAAAAGGCACGAGGCGCGTGCTGTGTGTGGTGCTGCGGGTGTCTGTGCACGTCTTGCCTGCGTGCAGTAAGCAGAGGGTGAGGGCGTGACGGTGCGCAGAGCACACACGTGTGTGTGAAGCCTGTCGTGGAGACAGTCTACGCTGCCTCCACACAGATGTGGGAGGAGCAGGGCATGGGATCCCCCTTCCTGGGTGCCTGAGGATGGTGCCTCCGTGCAGTGCTGTTGGCAGGGCCCCTCTTTCGCTCCTGCCCAGGTTCACCATCTCCCCAGGTTCCAGGAGCCTGAGCGACAAGCACCCTCAGGGTCTCCTCAGCAACAGCAGCACCACAGAGACCCGACCCCGCGGCCAGTGTCCAGGAGGGCAGGAGACAGGTGTTTTGCTACTAAGTCCTGACCAGGGTCACCCAACTTAGAGGCCAGGTCCCAGAGACCCTGGAGAGAGGGGCGGTCCAGGGGGCACCCTGCCATGCGCCGGGCCTTACTCCCCTCCAGTATCTGGTTGTGCTTGAAGAGAGCTGCTCCGCATGCTCCCAACAAGATGCCCGAATCTCCTGGAGGGCAGGACTACCTTGGCCAGTGCTTTTTGGATTCAGAGCCCAGTGTTTGCTGAATGACTGAATGATGGTATCTCATGACCATGTGCCAGGCTCTGGGCCTAAGTGCTGAGGGTACAAGTTGAAGTCCTGCTAGAATCAGACCAGAGCTTCCTGCCAGGTCAAGTTTGGTCCTGCCCCTACGAGTTGTTCAGCAGGAGCTGAGTCGGGTGTCAGCGGGAAGCCACTGCTCTCCAATCTTCTGCAGGCCAACTACCTGGATGCATCACCCCAGGCGAGGAAAGGCCAAGAGAGGACTGTTTTGCCAAAAGGTCGGTCCTAAGCTAAATGAGCCTGTCATTTCGGGGGCTGAGGCACAAGTGAGGCCGCATTCATCTTTCCTGGAAGTTCAGCCCCTCCTTGGCGGGACCATCGAGGGATGCTCCAAACATCTTCATTTCCCAAGGTCCATTTAGAACCCTGCAGCCTCCTTGCCTGCCCTTGGACCACAAATCCACCCCAAGGTTTAGTTTCAGCTCTTGGGCTCACTTCCAGTCCCTACCTATTTCTGGGGGGAGCTGGGGTCGTGGGGAGGGTCTGTGCCAGACTGCACCGTGGATGTAGTCTTTCTTTTTTAAAAAATATTCTTTTTTTTTAAAGATGTATTTATTTATTTATCTATACATGCACTGGGTACAGTCAGAAGCACGGGAGGGTGAGAGAATTCACCAGAGCCAGAGCAGGGAGCAGAACAGGCAGACGGACCGAAGTACACTGCTGAGGGGAGCAGCGGGCAGCAGGAGAGGTCTGCGTGCCCTGTGGGACCCTTGCCTGGTGGGCGGGGATCGAACCAGCGCTGCAGCTTTGCAGCCCAGCGCTCAACCGCTGCGCCACCAGGGGAGGCCTGATGTAGTCTTAAGGGAAGTCAAAGGTCTCATCCCAGCCTGAGCCCTGACTCTGGTCATAGGCTGAGCCCTGATCCTGGGCCTCAGTTTCCTTATTTTTCCGGTGGGGGCCCTAAGCGTGGGCCAAACACTAAATCAGAAAACACTTATTCAGAGGTTGATCTGCAGCCCCCGACCTGGTGGCACAGGAGCGTATCAGCCGCTGCCACCTGCCAGCCCCCACCCCCACCCAACACTTTCAGCCCAAGCATCACTAATTTTTGCAGCCACCGTGATAAATGGCATTGTCGGCAAAATGACATCTTTCTAATCTGCCGCAAGACAGATGGATCCCGAGCTCACTGGCTCTCTTGAGAGCCTCCCTGGGCCAGCCTGGAGGATTGGGGAACAGACACAATACCCTGGCCAAGGGGTGGGCTACAGGAGGAAATTTCTGGCCTGCCCTCGGGTATGACCTCCCTGGGGTTTTCTAGAAGCCCTTTTGTAAAATGCTAGTTTTCAAAAATATTCCAAAGATAATCTCTGCTGCTCCTTTTTGTCCAAAGTTAGTTCCTCCATTCAATTTTCATTTTGAATTAAATTCTGAATATTCTCAAATTCACCAAGATGAGCCAGGAGCACGCTGGGGCCGCGCAGTCCTTCCTGCTCCCTCCACCCCAGGGGCAGAAGCGGCAGGACATGCCTCTGCCTGAGTCACGGGGTCTGGGGGCTCTTTGCTCCCTCCCCTTCCTCCCTAAATCCCTCTGGCCCCACAGCTGCTGTCTCTTCCGCCATCTGCCTCAGTCTGCAGGCGGGGTAGTAGGCCCGCATGCATCCTGCAGCCCGGAGAGCTGGCTAGGGTGAGAATGGGGATCTGGATATCGAGACTTAGGGAACACCAAATACACATTCCAGCCCCAGAGACCCCACCTTCCACTCCAGACCACTGGCACCTGTCTGTCCAAAAGCCATGGCATGGAGGGGTGGGCGCTGGTCTGGACTCAGACAGAGAGGCAACACTGCCCCCTCCCGGCCAGCTGATGCCTCTCCTCTACGGAGAGCTGCTGGCTGACCTGGGGAGGCCAGGGACCTACCAGCAACCCTCAGAAGTCAGCTCCTCCCAGCAGTCTCCTCCGTCCTTCTCCGCCTCCCTAGGAGGGCAACCCCCTGCTCTGCCCAGCCTTGTCCAGCCTTCTCTCACTACCCAGAGAATCTTCTGAAAAGGCTGCATCTTATCCAGCCCCATCACACTGAGGACAAAGCCCCTGCCCTCTGAGGGTCCTCGCTTCCCTTTTCCCGGCATCCCCAGACTCTCATGCATGCCCCTGCCCTCATCCTCACTCCACCAAGAGTGCCCTCCCTTCACACAATCTCCACGAGTCCTGTTGGATCCCTTCTCCAACAGGGATCCCCGTCCCCATTCCCAAGCACCAAGCAGTGAGACCCCGCCCTCCCCTGACCGCACTTCCTGCCCACACTTCCTGCCCTGCTCCTCTCCTGAGCACTGTCAGGGGCCAGAGTTCCACTGTCAGGAACGCTGGAGCTGGAGGGAACTTGAACATCCTCCAGGCCGATGCACCCACCCCCAGCGGCCAAAGGGCAGCCCTGAGGCCCAGAGATGGGGTGCTGGGGAAGGCAAGGTCACACAGCACGCTAGTGGCTAGAACTCAGTTCTCCAGAGACTCTGCCAGGGGCTCTGTGGGGAGCATGCGCTGCCTTTCCTGGTGAGCCGGAGCAGAGCTTCTGCAGGACAAGGACCCCCACAGTCCCTCCCAGCTCCCCCAAGTCAGGGCCCCAAGGAAGCAGCCTTGAGTGTTTGCAAAACAAAGAAATAAAAAGATGTAAATATTTATCTAAGATCTTCTGTATGCTGGACACAGCAGGCACCAGCTCTGCTATGAGAAACCTCAATTTCTCAACATGCTATGGAAGAACAACTCCTGTGGGAAGGGGCAGTGCGACAGGAGGGGCTCAGTCGTGAATGTGGACGACAAGAGGGGTCAGATGGGGTGAGTGCTTGACGCCCATGGAGAAGGCGGGTACTCGGGGCTTGTGCACCGTGACCTGCTGGACCTCGTGGGAGCCGGGGCCAGGCCGAGGCGTGTGGTCCACCGGGTAGGCAAAGCGCTTGGCCATGCTGTAGCTGGGGCTGCGGTTCTGGTAGACAGCCGGCTCGGGCCGGGTGTGCTTGGCGGGCCCAGGGCCTCCTGCCACGTTCTCCTTGTAGAACCAGTTCTTGTCTGGGGAGGCCAGACTGTAGCAAGGGGCAGCTCGCTTGGTGGGAATGTTGGGCCCCAGCAAGAGCGGCAACTGATACTGGTTGGGGGCTGGGTTGGGGTCCATCACTCTGTATGGGCAGCGGTAGCCAAAAGTATACTGGGGAGCCCTGCGTTCATCAGGCGGGTGGGTCTTCTCCAAGTGGTAGTGGCAGGAGGCTGGGGTGGCGAACAGGCCTGAAAGTGGGCAAATGAACGGGGGGTATCTCAGGGCAGGGAGCCAGACCACACCGCCTGGATCCAACTGATTGGTCCAGCTGGACTTGACCGGCCTGATGCGACGTCACTAGAACCACCTCGGCATCGAAAGGGATGCCGCCCTTGCGTGGGGCTGTGGACAGGAAGGGACTTACATCCTGACCTCAAAATTGTGACACTATTGTCACAATTTAACACCACAAGTGTCATCCAAATATCTGTTGGGCTGTCAGCATTCTGACATTGTCCCTGGGACAGCACCAAGAAAATGGAAATCATGGTGGTGCCTGAGCTCATTAGCATGACAGTATCACAAACATGACATGAGCTCGACCACCTTGGTATCACGTCACCCTAAGGTCCCCCCGAGACATGTACACCTAACATTGGCATCAAGATGTAAGAGTCACGGTGCCCGCACGGTGACATCCGTGTCTTGGCGTGACAGTGCATCCAGAGACACGTCTGGGGACAGAGGACCCTGCGCAGGTCCGAAGGGTGGGCCCCAGCTCCCAGCTCCCACCGCCTACCTCCCTCCCCATCCCATCTTACGCAAGTTGGAGATACGCTCCTGCATGGGGACCTGCGGGCAGCTGGACACTCCGAATCGAGTGATTTGGGGATCCAAGAAATAGCAAGGCCCAGGGCTGTACATGTCCACGATCCCTGCAGGCAGCCAACCAAAGGCCCAGTGAGCTCTAAAGGCTGCCCCAGGGTGAGCCTGGCCTGCCTCCATGTGGCCTCCCGTTGCACCTCTGATTGCCCTGGCTCTCCCATGTTCCAGAACACTCTTTTCCTCATCTGGGAAGTGGGCTGTTAATGCATGACCTGACGTTCTCAAGAACAGGTTCAGAGGAACAGGGCTTGGTTAGCCCCCCCCCCCATAAGGGACGGGTGCCAAAGGGTGACAGCAGGCACAGTGACTGTGGTTAGTAGTGAAAGGGGCACAGTATTAAGGGGGTCCCCTGAGGAATGTATGTCTCCCCAGCTACCTTATTCTCAGACTCCTGATACATACCTGCACCCTGCCCAGCTTCTCCTCTCGATGGTTTTGACCCTCCCATGTCCCCTGGCTCCCAACCTTCTGGGGGCTTCTAAACCACCCAGGAATCTTTGGGGGCTACAACTCCTCATCATTCCTGCCCTGTTGCTGTGGCAAGTGACCCAACAGCCACCAGAGTTAAAGGGCCCAGTCAGAAAGGCGTCCCTTCAAAGCTCAGCTGAGAGGTGTGTGTGGAGGGCGTCATGTGGGCACCCCCACTGGCTTCCTTCTGGATCCCACAGGCCACCTGGTTACCCCTCTCAGGGCAGGCCTTGGTCCACAGGGGCCTGTGGCTGCAGAGAATGGCTGTCTGCCTCTCACCCTCACCCCACCCATCTAACAACCAGCTGACAGAGGCCATGGTGAGGGCGCACGTTTCTCCGAGTGCCGGGTGTGCAGGGTGTAGGCTGGCTCCTGGAACATGGAGATGTCGTGGTCTACGTAGCCAGTGCAGGATGGCCGGAGGTACTTGGCAGGCCCTGGACCTGGAAGGCAGATAAGGCAGCCCTCAGTCTGGGCCCACCAGGCCAGCGGCAGTACAAAACCCACGAGCACACTGGGTGCTGTGCTTCCACAGTGTCTCACTATCACAGATCCCAACATCCAGCCGCTTCCTTTAGAAAAAGACAGTGCTCCCAGATAAAATCCATTTTCTCTTGGCTAAGCAATGCATAGTTAGGCAGCCAAGAGTTGCAGTGAGTTGAGAGCATATCCTGTTCCAAGTACTCTACTAAGCATTTTTCTTTAAGCATGGAAGTACTGAGGTGTAGGCCAGAGGTGCAGGGGGGATGAGAGGATTCACCAGAGACAGAGTGGGGAACGGAGCAGGCAGATTGACTGAAATACACTGCTGAGGGGAGCAGCAGGCCAGACAGGAGAGGTCTGCTCTGCCATGTGGGTAGCTCCCTGGCCAGGGATGGAACTCAGGCTATAGAGGTGATAGTGCTGAGACTTAACCCCTAGGCCACCAGGGAGGCCCTCTACTAAGCATTTTATGTGGATTATTTCTTTTAAGCCTCCAATAACCTTGTAAGATGAATACGCGCTTTCCCCCTTTTACAGATGAAAATACTCAGGCGTAGAATATCGATTTGGGGAAGGACTACTGGTGCCTTGGTGGCGGGTGTGGTGTGGTAATATGCATCTGAAAAGGTGTGACCCTATACCTTTGAATCATCTCCAGTGTTGTTGACCAGTGTTACCTCACTAAAAAATGCTAATAATCAAAGAAAAAAAAAGAATTTGCCCTAAGTCAAAAGGCACATGAAAATTCTGAGACAATCAACAGAGCCCAAACATTTGAACACTATAGTAAACTACTTCCTACACAGAGAATCAATCATTAACAATGTAGTAAGAATTAGTGTGCCTGCTTTCCCAATGAGAGCCCAATTCAAGGGAAGTAAGCAAAGTTAACCTGGGCTAAAAGCTCTGGCGAATCCCTAGCCTTTTCCAGAACTGGTCTCACAGCACTCCTTTGTTCCCTCCCTTCCACACTCCCCTGAAAATCCCCAGCAACTAATACTGCCAGAGAGAGTCTCATTGGAGGCGTCTCTCCCACAGGCTTCCAGGAGTGTGGAGGGGCTTCGTGGGAGGCAGAGCTGGAAGGCTGGGACCAGGCCAGCAGCTCTGCAGAGGACCGGGCCTGAAGAGTAGGTGGGGCACCCTCACCTTTGAGATTTGCCATGATCACCGGGGTCTGTTTCACTTCCCGTGTGGAGGGTAGTGACTCCTTCTTCTCAGGGCGCTGGCCATAGAACGAAGCATTGCGGGCAGCCTTGGGCAGTGTCATGAGTGGGCAGGGGAGAAGACAATAGCAGTTACTGAGAGAGGAGCTGGGCCTGTGTGGGGGCTTGGTCAGGGCGCCCCTCCCCCAGCCTCTCAGTTCAACCTCCACCCCACTCCAGAGGCAGCGGGGGCTCAAGGGAAGCTGGTCCTCCAGCTGAGCAGCTGAGGCCGTTGAGGATCAGCCTACAGCCTGCCTGCAAGTCCCAGCAAGGCCAGAGCTAGGAATGACATCACTTAGAACTTGGACTATAAAATTGTGTTTATTTCCCCCAGTTGCCGTGGAGCCTGAACTGTGCCGTGGAAATTCTATGGCGGCAACTCAGTGGTGAAGCCCTGAGAATTTGGCCTCACTACCCCATACTCCAGACCAGACTAAATAGGAGTCAGTCCAGAGGGTCCCCAGAACCGGGGATCAGGGAAGGAAGAGGGAGAGGTGTGTGACAGGTGGAGATAGCTCTTCACTGCTGTCATGCCCAGGCAGCTGGGTAGGAATGAAGAGCCAATGGGTCACAGGTAAAGGGTTCCTGCAGCCCACATAGCCCCCCCAGGGTGGCTCTCAGAGCTATCCCGTCTGCCCAGTCCACCTATCCTCCCAGGTAATGAACACTCCCTCCTGTCTCTCCAAGTCTGTGTCTCCTTGGGAGAGGAGCAAGCAAATTATCTCACACTATCCCTTTGATCCTAGGCGCCTAACCCCAGGGCGCGGAATCTTTAGAAATCCCCGTTTAACTCAAAGATTTGCCAATGGGGGAGAAAGATGGGTGGAGGGTGTGACACTCAGGCCTTACTTAGGAGGCCACTTCCTGTGTCTCTTTCCTGAGAGGAAACACTGAGTGGTTGGGAAGATACCCAGCTGCCTTTAGGATTGAAAGCTCCGGTCTGGGGACCACTTCACTCCTAAAAACCCAGGAGGTCTGGGGAGCCGGAGGTCTCTGTACTCACTGTTTCCCAGTTCGTCCTGGGGACTTGGTCTGAACTAGGTAAGAGAGTGTCCTGAAATGGATCAAACCCAGGGGAACTGGCTGACCCAGTTGATGGGTCCTCACCCGTGCCCTAATAGGATACAACCCAAAAGCAGACACATGGGGAGAAACCACAATGACAGGATTTTTTTATACAGGAAATGAGAAAGAGGAGTGCAGAGAGAAAGAGGGGCATTTACAGGCTGGCGTGTGATCAGAAGCCATTTGTCTGCCCCAGGTAGCATCCTCTGAGCAGAAACGAGGTCCAAACTGAAGCCTCATGTGGAAAGCTGGTGGCTTCTGCACCAACAGCCCTCCTCACCAGTGGTTTACTACCAAATACCAGCTCTGCCTCTGTTTCCCATAAGCACCTGCCCCTTAAGACAACAGGGAGGGCCTCCCTGGTGGCGTAGGTGGTTGAGCGCCACACTGTGAAGCTGTCTGCAGCCTCTGTAGTGCTGGTTCGATCCCAGCCGGCCAGGGAGCTACCCACATGGCACAGCAGACCTCTCCTGTCTCTCCCGCTGCTCCCCTCAGCAGTGTATTTCAGTCAGTCTGCCTGCTCTGCTCCCTGCTCTGTCTCTGGTGAATCCTCTCACCCTCCCGCGCATCTGGCCTGTACCCCAGCTCTTGTATAAATAAACTAAATCTTAAAAAAATAAAAGACAACAGGGAATAGAGTCTAGAAAGCTCCACTTTCTACCACTGAGTTGGTTATGATTGCCACCCACTGACCCAGAGGTTGCTCCTCACTTTTCCTCTTACAGTTCCATTTTAGGAACAGGTGACTGCTGGCTTTCAAGATGGTATCTGTCTCGACTGTCATATACAGATAAGGAAACTGAAACCCAGGCAGTGTTAAGCATTTGTCCAAAGACTCCCATGACATCAGTAAGAGACAGAACAAGGACACAAGTTCAAGGGCCCCCTCTGGACAGACAGAGCCTCTGAGCTTAGAGGAACCAAATCACACTCTGAACTCACCCCAACCAGCAGGTATGAGGAAGACTCAGAACAGACTGGCCTGGCTTGCTGGGCCTTCCAGAGCTCCTGATGGGACTGAAAGTGTCAAACTACCTTAGTGGTTGTAGACCCTCCCCAGACCCTCACATCGCCTGTGGGGCAACCCAGTCTGTGATTCAGAAATCAGAGGTGATTTCTGCCAGCGCCACCACCTCACCCCTGTCCTCATCAGCTTTTCCAGGAGGAAGCTGAGGGCCTGCTGAACCTGAGCCCCAATGATCCCATTGCACAGTAGGGCAAAATCTGGGCTGGACCTCCACTTTCCTGGTCTGAGGCAGGAGTGTTCCAGGGAACCGTCCTGACACTCCACCACCTGCACTACTCCTATTTGTAGCCTTTGCCCAAGGCACTCCTGGGGAAACTGAGCCACCTCCCTACACCCCAGCATGTCCCATGCTGTCCCACTTCTACTCCAAATGCTTTCCTGTTGCCTCTTCCCCCACATTGCGTTCTCTCTCTCTCTCTCTCTCTCTCTCTCTCTCTCTCTCTCTCTCTCTCTTTCTCCCCAGAGACCACTTGAAATGTGGCTCCTTCCCCACTGTAGACTTCCTGTGCTGCCTCCCCTCAGCAGAGTAGAAGCCATCACACCAAACTCTGATGCACACCCTCCCACTGCACCCTCAGAACCCCCAGTTTCCTCTGTCACCACCCCCCACATGACCCCTAGGGCTTGCAAGGACCCATCAGGACCTCTGCCTCCGACCTGGTCTGCCTTCCATGGACCTTCACTTTGCCTTGTCCTCCCCTCCTGGCTTCAACCACTCATCCTGCCCCTCCCTTCATCGGCCCTCTCTTATTAAAAACCAAACCCCTGGGGGCCTGCCTGTTGGCTCAAGGGGTTAAGACGCAGCACTATGAAGCAATCCACAGCCACTGCAGCACGAATTCCATCCCCGCCGGCCAGGGAGCTACCCACATGGCACAGCGGACCTCTCCTGCCTTGCCCGCTGCTCCCCTTAATAGTGTATTTCAGTAGCTCTGCCTGTTCTGCTCCCCACTCTGTCTCTGGTGACTCCTCTCACACACACACACATACCCGCCACCCCGCATCTCTGGCCTGTGCCCCAGCGCTTGTGTGCATAAATAAATAAATCTTTAAAAAAAAAAAGAAAACCAAACCCTGGCCAGGCACCTCTCCAGCCGCACCCCAACCTGTCCCTCCGCCCATTGTCACAGGTGCGCTTAGAGGTGCTGACCTCTCCTTCACTCTTGCACCCCCACAGACTCCCCCAGGCCCACCACTCTACCAAAACTGTGACCCACAAGAGGAAGCCAAAGCCAGTGGACACGTCACCTCACCAGTGGGGATCTTGGCCAAACCTCCCACCATCCCCTCCTCACAGCACTTCATCCTGGTTCCAAGGTGTCCTCCTGGCTTTGCTGCCATCCCCTCTGTCCCTTCACAGCCTTCCTGCCTCATCTTCCTCAGCCTGACCTTTCAAAGTTGGCCTCTGCTTACTCATTGCAAGGGAAAAACAGTTACTTTACAGGAAAAATCCCAGCAGGCAACGCCTCAGCCAAGCAACCTAAGTTCACACTGTAAGTCCACATCTTGACAAAATGGGACAGGTAGGTACTGACTGCCCCCGCAGCCTGCCCTGGGGGCACCCCTCCAGGTCTTCCCTCCAGAGGTGCATAACCTGAGTCTAATGATGAAGAAACCACACAAACTCCAGTCAAAGTTCACTCTACAAAATAACTGGAGTGTCCTTGCTCCCAAATAGAAACATCCTGAAAGACAAAGAAACACTGAAGCACAATTCCAGTCATAGAAACTTGAAAGACAGGACAACTATAAAGCAAAACCGAGGTCAAAATCACGAGGAATAGAAGGGTGGTGCAGGAGGTGGTGGGGGAGCTGGGGGTAGAGACTGGGACAGGTCGGGGATGGGAGCTAGACTCTCGGAGAATCCTGAGAAGTGTCCCCAGACGTCAGCTTAGAAGGCTCACTCCTAAAACTTCCATGATGTTAGAAACCAGTGCTACACAGAACACTGTAAAGTTTATTTTTAGAAAAAAGAGAGAGAACCACAACAAGGAGATAAAACAACCAGAGTCTAGCACCGAAACTATGAAGGAAAAAATAGGACAAGTAAGAGCAACATCAGGGGCAGGATTTTGTTTGGCTCTAACGGATATCATTGGGAAAATTGACAAAACCAGAAAAAAGCCCACGTCCAGGACAAAGCACTGTGCCCGTGTCACCTTCCTGGTGTCCATGGTCATCTCCGGTTGCGGAAGAGAAGGTTCTTAGGAAACACACACTGAAGCACTTAAGGACAAGGAAGCATTATGTCTGCAGCCTACGTTCAAATGGTTCAGGGAAAAATAGCTTCTATACCTGGAGAGAACAGAATTTTTAAATGTGGCAAAAGATTCACATTTGGAAAATGAAGAGCATGTGGGGCCTCCCTCGTGGCACAAGGGGTTAAGCACCGCACTATGAAGCAATCCACAGCCTCTGCAGCACGAGTTGGATCCTCGGCTGGCCAGGGAGCTACCCACATGGTGCGGCAGACCTCTCCTGCCTCCCCCGCTGCTCCCCTCAGCAGTGTATTTCGTCAATCTGCCTGTTCTGTTCCCCGCTCTGTCTCTGGTGGATCCTCTCACCCCCCGCATCTCTGGCCTGTACCCCAGCTCTTTTATGCATAAATAAATAAATCTTAAAAAAAAAAATGAAGAGCATGTAGGGATACACTTGCTACTTTCCTGTAAATCCGAAGTCATGTCAAAACAAAAGCTCGGGAAGGAATGGTGTGTCAGAATTCAGCCTGGACTTTCCTCTCATGTAAATGCCCCTCATCTCCCGGGGTCCTCTGAGCTCTTGTTGCTTCCTTCAGCCCCACCCCTGCACCCTGGCAATTCCCCATATAGCTGCCTCTGGTCCTAACCACTTCAGATGCTTCCACAGCACTGGGTATCACTTGGGGGCCTCAAAAGCACCTCTAAGTCAACATACCCAGAGCTTTGCTCATGAGAAGGCCCCACCCCTTGTCTGTCCCAATGAATGATGCCAGCACCCATCCAAGTGCCCCGCTCCCACCACTGGACTTGTCCAGGACACCTCCTTTGTCATCCAACAATCGACAGGTCACTTAAGAGCCTGTGAGCTCCCAAAGGCAGGTTTCCTGTCATTTATCATTGTGTCCCTAGCCCCTTCCCCTTGCATGCACACACATGTCTGGCACAAA